CATCAGACTTTCAGTGACTCCACTGCCCCCAGAATAAAGGCCCAGGTTGCTGGCCTGGCGTCCACGGCTTTTCCTGACCGCCCTCCTGCCTGCGCTTCCCCCATTTGTGCCCACAAAGATACTGAGACGTTCTGCCTTAGTCATGCTCTTTCTCACCCTACCTCCCTCTCCCAGTATCTCTGCACAGCTGAACTCCTACACAGCCTCTAAACCCCAGCTGAAATACCCTCTCTGTGACTCCTCAGACCCCTGGCCAAGGTTATAAACCCCCTTTCCATCCCCTTAGCTCTTGGCCTGCCCTCTTCCTTTAGACATGGCCATGTGCTCCTGCTCCCTGAGTTCAGGGGCTTTGTTTTCATCTCAGGGTCCGTGCCCAGCACGGGGCCAGGCACAGAGTAGAGGATCAGCGAGAGTCTGATAAATGTGGCATTGAGGTTAGAGGGGTCTCAGGACCCTCTCCTCAGAATAAGCTGTAGGGTTGTGAGGGGAGGTCCCTAGGGTGACCGCATCCCACTCTGGCCACTTCAGCAGCTACCCAAGCCCTGGGCAGCCCTGCACAGAGGGCCCTGTGTCTGGGCCGCTTCCTGCCTGTGGGGCCAGGAAGGGACTTGGGGCAGGGGCAGGATAGGGCAGCAGGAGGAAGAAGCCACCAGAGTCAGGTGCCTGAACCCCCAGCCTGCTGGGCCAGGACAGGACTGGCCACTGAGGGAGGAAGAGCCACTTCCTGGCTGCCCTTGTGAATGACGGAAATGACTCGGCCCTGGAAGCAAATCCAGAGAAAATGCCGGGGGCCTGGCCTTTCCTGCTTCCTGGCTGGCGGTCAGGTCCTGGGGTGGAGAGACCACCTGCAGGGGTGGCGTCCTGAGCTGATGAGGCTGGCTGATCAGTTGGAGTGGGGCTGATAGTCAATCAACAAACACAAATGGTCATGAAGGTACAGTCACTGCCCTGGCAGCTCGCAGCTTCCCAGGTGGGATCCTGACAGGCTGATCTGCACAGATTAAAGGAGATAAGGCAGGTGGGCAATGTGCTCAGTGAAGTGCTGTAGGATCCTTAGGGAGCTGAAAGGTGAGATGTGGGCCTTGAATGCCGGGCTCAGGGGTGTGGCCCTCCTTGGGAGAGCCAGTGGGGAGTGATGCAGAGGTTTGTGGCACATGTGC